CATTCCCTCATCTCTTCCTCATTCTCTTTCTCTCTCACCCACAGCTACGGCTACGGGGACGCCCGCTGCGACTGCTCCCCTCGGCATGATCGGTTCCCTTGGCTGGTTTCGCGGCCCTGTCGGCTCTCCTCGCTTGCGCTCTCGTCAACACGCAAGGAGGCGCCGCGCAGAGAAGCTTCGGTGGGGATGGTGAGTTAGGTTTTTATATATATATATATATATATATATATTATATATATATATATATAATATATATATATATATATTTTTTTAGGGGGGGGAGGTGGTGGGGGTTGGGGGGAAGGGGGGTTGGGGTAGGGTTGGGGGTTGGGGGGATGGAGGGGGGTTGGGGTTGGGGGTGGGGGTTTGGGGGTGGAGGGGGTGGGGTGAGGTGGTGGGGAAGGTTTGGGGGTGGAGGGGGGTAGGGGGAAGGTAGAGGTTGGATGGGGTAGGGAAGGTTTTGGGGTAGGAGGAGAGAGAGAGGGGGATGAGGGGTGGGAGGAGGGGGTGGGGGATGGGAGGGGAGGTTTGGGGATGGGAGGAGGTGTGGGTTTGGAGGAGAGAGAGGGGGGAGTGTGGTGGGAGAGAGAGAAGAGAGAGAGAGATGGGGATGAGCTTCGGTAGGGGTGTGGGGTGAGGGTGGGAAGGTGAGGCTGGAAGCTGGGGGGGGGGGGTTAGGTGTTGGGGTGGGAAAGGGAATGTGGAGTTAGGGGAAGGAAAGCACTCGAGAGGGAATGTGGTGCTGGAAGGAGGAGTGAGGGAGGAAGAGAAGGGAGGGAAGGTGGAGGAAGGAAGATGAGATGGGAGAAGAAACTGGAGGAAAGGAAGGAGGGAGGTAGAAAGAAATGGGAGGGAAGGTGGAGTGTCACAGGGAAGGAGAGAAGGAGTGAGTGAGGGAGGAGGAAGAGATGGGGAGGGAAGGAGGGAGGGAATGTGAGCATATAGAATAGAACCTGGGAAGGAAAGGGATAGACGAGGATAGGAGAAGGAAGAGGAGGGCTAGAAAGAGAATGGATGAGGGAGTTTGAGAGGAGGAGGGGGTAGGATGGGGTTGGGGGGGGAGTTGGATAGAATGATGAGGAGGGAGGGATCGGATAGGATAGATGGATAGATGGATAGGTGAATAGATGGATAGGTGAATAGATGGATAGATGGATAGATGGATAGGTGGATAGATGGATAGGTCAGATGGATGGATAGATGGATAGGTGGTGGATGGATAGATGGATAGGTGGATAGGTCAGATGGATGGATAGACGGGAGGTTAAGAAGACAGGATGGAATGATAGAGTTGTAAGACATAGATGGATAGACCGAAGTGTTGGGATAGAGACAAGAGGAAAAAAGAAATGAATGAGGAATAGGCAAGAATGGGAATAAAAGGAAGTAGGGAATAGATGGGAAGAGGAGAGGAGGCAGGAGTGAGGGATAGGGATAGAGAGGATGAGATCCTAAATATGGGGGATGGATAGAGGATGGATGAGAGGAAGGGGAGGGGGGATGAGTGGAGGGATGGAAGGGAAGGTGGGGGAGGGGATGTGGGAGGGGGATGGGAAGATGGGAAGGGAAGGGAAAGGAGAGGGAAGGGAGAGGAGGGGAGGAGAAGAGAGGGGAGGGGAGGGGGAGTAGAGGGGAGGGGAGGAGAAAGAGAGGGGAGGGAGGGAGGAGAAGGGGAGGGGAGGGGGGAGACGGGGAGGGAAGGGAAGGGAGAGAGATGAGGAGAAGAGAGGGGAGGAGAAGAGAGGGAGGAGAGGGAGGAGAAAGAGAGGGGAGGGGAGGGGGAGGGGGAGGAGAGGAGGGGAGGAGAAAGAGAGGAGAGAGAGGGGAGGGAGGAGAGGAGGGAAAAGGAAGGAAGGGGAAGGAGGGGAGGAGAAGAGAGGGGAGGGAGGAGAAAGAGGGAGGGAGGAGAGGGGATTGGGAGGGAGGAGAGGGGAGAAGAGGGGGAGGGAGGAGGTGGAGGGAAGGAGAAAGAGGAGAGGAAGAGAAGAGAGGGAAGGAGGGAAGGAGGAGAAGAGAGGGGACGGGAGGGGGAGGGAAGGAGAAGAGAGGGAAGAGAGGGGAGGGGAGGGGGGGGGAGGCAAAGATGCTGGGGGAGAGATAGGGAGAAAGAAACTTATGAGCCGAATATATCATTGGATAAAATTCCTTCTTATTTTGGCACCTTTGCACGGGCTTCTATCTTCAATCATCTGTCTGTTGGTATGTCAGCATTTATCGTTCTCTCTCTATCTCTGTCACTTCCTTCCTCCCTTCAGCTCTCTTTCTTTCTCCTCCTTTCCCTATCTCTCTCTGTCTCCCTTTTCTCTCTGTCTGCCTGGCTGCCTGGATGTGTGTCTCTATTTCTTTTCATTTTCTCTATCTTCATTTTTTTTTCTCTCTCTCTCTTGCTGACTCTCTCTCTCTCTTTCTTTTTTTCTCTCTCTCGCTGACTCTCTCTCTCTCTTGCTGACTCTCTCTCTCTCTCTCTCTTCTGACTCTCTCTCTTTCTCTCTCTCTTGCT